CACACACACACACACACACACACACACACACACACACACACACACACACACACACACACACACCACATACCCCGTCCCCCGCACAAACACTATACACATGGCATTTCCTCTTTTCTGTCACAGATGCCCTCTCTAAGTAGATTATTTTTCCGAGTTGACCTCATGGATGGTGTCACTTACCTCAAAGGCAGCCATCACACCCCCAGTTCACTGAGTATCTTAGCTACTGTATTAGCCTGGGGAATTATTCTGTTTTTCAAGGAGGGATTGATGAGAATCTGAGAGGAAAAGAACAATGACTTCCTGTTGCTCCACTGAGGGAAGGATAGAGACTGTGGGTGGTGACTAGATGGTTCACACTGAAGGCAGGTGACAGAGCCTTTAAAAGAGTCTGAAGTCAGTGGGGGCAGATGGAAGTCACCCTCGAAGAACTTTCCCAAGAGCAAATGTGTGCTTAGCTGTTATGAGACTAAAGCGCTGTAACAGTTGGGTCAGCTCTCCCAGGACATGATCCGCTCCTCGCCTGGTTGAGTTCTTGTCGACATCCCCATCTCATTGGTGCCCACAGCTTTTGCTCTGTGACTTTCCAGTCCCTTCCCCAAAGTTGAGAGCTAGTTGATTTTGGGTTGATCTACATATCTCATCAGGCTGATAGAACGAAGAGACGTGTCTGTGTGCTGGTCCTGAGCAGAGGGTGTAAAAGCCTTTGTCTGTTACCAAATGTCTGCACCTTGGCCACCAGCCCAGTGTGCTGAGTGGCCACCACTGTTCTTATTTGCTGTTGGGATAGTGTACCTCCCCATTTCTGTCCCAGTGTTTTCTGAGAATTTATGATGAGAATCCTTGTGGAAAGTTGACTGGAAGGAGATTTAGACATCTGCCTACTCCAGAAAGCTACGAGAGAAGGTATCACCAAATGTCTAGTTTTCTAGCTGGACTAAAGCTGGCCGTACACAGTAAGGGAGGGGTGAATGTGCCCCACGTGGAAGCTATTTTCTCCTTCTGTAGTCATCTGATTCCCACATGGTAGATGTTCTTCCACATCTGGTGTTAGGTTCAAGTAGGTTTCCTTTCTTGAGTCTTGGGCTTCTAGGGCAAGCTTGGGAGTGGTTACAGAATTTTCAACCAGAATTCCCTGAAGTCTAAGACACTTCCGAGCAATGGAGAGTTTTATGGGTTGCGTCCAGTCATTCTGAGGAAGTTTTATCTTTTAAAATCTCCTTTAAGAAAAAGCTTTTTGTTTTTGTTTTTAATTTCAAATAACTGTAGATTCATACAAACAAACAAAAAATTGAGATAAGGGTCTGACTTACCTTTTACTCTGCCTGTACCAGAGCTGATGTTTTTATATGACTGTAGTGAAGTAATAGAGTCAAGAAACTGACTTGGACAAAGACAGACCATATTCAGATTCTGCCAGCTGTGTGTGTGTGTGTGTGTGTGTGTGTGTGTGTGTGTGTGTGTGTGTGTGCGCACAGGACTGTGCAGCTATATTATGTGTGGTTTCTGGAAACACTCCTGTCCCGTCAGAGGTTCTTTGTGCTGTTCTTTAGAGAAACTCCCCTCCCCATGTTCAAGCCCTGGTTCCTGGCAATGCAGCTCTGTTCTCTATGATGTTGTAGTTGTAAGACAACGAGATACACGAAATCATATGCTATGTAACCTTGGAGACTGACTTTTTTATGTTCGGCATAGATCTCTTTTATTCCTTCTGAATTGGATAAATAGATCTGGTTTGGTGTTTTTATGATGTAGTAGTTAGGCAAAGCTAAGCCCATTAAAATATTATTGAAGGCTAACATGTGGAGAGAAACCTATGAGAATGTAAGGATATAACTCATTGGCGTGTGTAATCCCCACACATTGATTTGGGTTGTCATGGACACCACACAGTGTGAAAATGCATCATTGCCACTGCTCTTTACAAGAAGAAGATTGTGCTAGAACCTCTGATGTCAGCTCTGGCCCCCAACCAGCCAATCTCCTTGCTTCTCCTTAAACACTGCTATGATCAGAGGTGACAGGCATGGTTTTGAACTTGGTAATATTGGTGGACAGGTGCCGTACACTCTTGTATCTGATTCCCTTTGCTGGTTATCATGTTTGTGAGGCTCATCCATGCTGCTGCAAACATTGTGGCTTGTTTATCCTCATGGGTCTGTCGTATTCCACAGCAGGACTGTCCACCGCGGCCTGTGTACTCATCCTCCCATTGACAGATATTGATGTGGATTTGACCTTTCGGCGATTACAGAGTGCATTTGGGATCACTTTTGTGTGATTCTTTTGGCGTGTACCTCCGGTAGAGTTGCTGCATCATAGGGAGTGGGTATCTTGGATAAGGACTGGTAGGAGGGGCCTGAGGACTCGGCTCAGTTGGTAAAGTGCTTGTTGGGCAAGCTTGAGGACCCGAGTTTGGATCTCCATGTTGGAAAGAAAAGTGCTGGGCATAGAGACACACACCTATACCCCAGAACAGGAGAGGAGATGGCAGCAGGATCTTTGACTCACTGGCTAGCCGGTCTAGCCAAATTGATGACCCCAGGTTAAATGAGAGACTTTCTTTTTTTA